ATTTTCATCTTTTTTAAATAAAATCCAAACCTGCATTTATCAAAAATGAAAACTAATAAATACAATATAATAATACAAAATACATTTTACATTAATTTCTTTCAAAAATTACCTTTTGGATCTAAAAATTTTCTTCTTAGCTTATGATAATAACATTCATAATATAAAGTACAAATAATATAATGTAAATACGATATAATTGTTCGCCCATACTAATTTATCATTTATATAATCTTGCAAATAATTTAAGGATATGAATTAATAAGGAAAAATCAAATGTAATAAATACTTACGCTTTACGAAATTCATTATTTTTTATCAAATACAGTATTTCATATCTTCATTCATATCTACAAAAGTAATTTATCGAAGTCATTTAAGATGTCTTACTGTTAAAGCTATTTTTCGAGGGTTTATTCAAAATATAATTCAGAAATTTCAATTTCATATGCCAAAATGTTTTATCTTGATTCATCAACTGGATTTATCATGTTCTTTTGCTCGTAAAAAAGGCAATCATTATTCTCCTACTTATTCCTAATTAATAATTCTCATCAAATATTATGGTAACGAACGAAGTTAGTCAAGATATATAAATGTAATAATAAGTATAAAAGTCGCATGATAATTTATCAAGGATTATTTGATATAAATGACAAATAAATACGATGAAATTACGCCAACAGGATATTTATAACATACATTTGTGAGATCAATTAAGGCGATAAATTAGACGAATCTATTAATGACTTAAATTAGACATCAATAAGCTTCTAAAAGAATGTATTTATAGGAGTGAAATTTGGATGCGGTTTGTAATTCTCTTTTAAATAACGAAATATAAATCATCAAATAAACAAAAAAAAACATTACATTCTTTTAAAGTTATACCTTTACCTTCGAAATTGATATTCAAAATGCATCAATATAATGTGATGTCTTTTATTATAATTCCTTACTTGTAGTAATTAATGTCTATCGGAGAAAATTTCGACATAAAGAATGTACTACAGATGCTACTGATGATAATGTCACCAAGCTCTAAAAAAAAGATTAAGATACTCTTTCTTTGGTTTATAACAAGAATGATAAAAAGGTCTTAAATAAAAAATTATTCTTGGGAACATAATGATTTAGTGAAAATATATTTTGAGGAAATTGAAGGTTCATAAAAGGGTTATCGCAACGTGCCTACGAGGCAATAATCATAAAAAATTTTTTCAATTCGTTTTTAAAAATTTACTTTTTTCGTTTCGTTTAGTTTTCTTAATTTCTTAATTTCGTTGCTTTTTATAATTATTTGTTTATAACTTCATTTGATTCTTATTCTTATTCTTATAGTATAGAATGTTAATTTATTGAATTGCAAGACCCAAAAAACAAATTTAACATAAGGTATCGAATTTTGCTAAAATGAAGTTTTTCGTAGATGTATATTTTCAAAATAAATATTTATAAATTCTATATTTTATAAAACGGATCTTAATTTTTAAATTTCAATAATTTTTTATAAAGCAATAATTATTTTATTACAATTGGTAAAACTTTCTTAGTTAAATTTATGTCTATATTGAACAAAATGTTTTCAGGTCGAGCCAAAAAATTCTCAGAAAGGCAAAGGCGAGTTAATCTTTGAAATTTATTGCGCCACATATATCGCATGAAAAAATAAAGCAATTCTGTTTTTTAAAATTACAGTCTATTAGATAAACAATTGGGAGTTTTCGTAACGCCATCATCAAATTTCAATTAAATTTAATGAATAGAAATTATATGAAATACTATAAAAAATTTACTACATTTTTTTTTTTTTAAAATCTAAAAATCTAAAAAAAAATCTATTTGTTGGATTATTTTTTTTTTTTGTTAATTTGTAATTTTTTTTTTTTTTTTTTGTATTTCTTAAATTGATTTTACTTTGGTTTCTTCGCTTTCTGCCGCTGCGATAGAACGAAATTTTTTATTATTAATAATTTAGATCTCAATCGGCTTGGATCGCTTCGAAAGTACGCAGTATTTTTTTTTAGCCTAGTTTTAATTTCTTTTTATACTTATCTAAATTTTATTTTTAATATCATTCGCGCTTTTGATATGACCATTTATTAATGATTTTTTTCTTAGAAATTATGATAAAGCTGTGTTTGAATTACATCTCATTTTTTTATAGCCGCACCTACTGTGCCACTAAGAATTAGATCTCTGAGGAAAAAAAAAGGAATAATATTTACCATGAATAGAATGAGACATACAGGTTTATAATATTCCTATCAAATGGGAGATAATACTCATCAATTATATGAAGAATTTGATAACCAAGTCAGAAAAATGAACTTAAAAATTAAGAGAATTAAATTTCCATCAATTTTCATATAAATAAAAATTTTAAAACATTAAAGTAATGTGATGTGATAAATATGTTGGTTAAACAAGATTCTATAATGGATTACGTCAAAGATATACAATTTTTCCGTTTTATTTTATTTTTTTAATAAAAAAAACATTGTCGTTATCGACAGAATGTGTAATTTAAAAACAGTCACTTTGAACGAATGACTCATCAGATGCTGAATATAAAATTCTTAGATATTTACCCAAACTATTGTTGTAACCTTGCTCTTATGGTGTAGTGTTAGAAATTGTAATCTTGGAAGAAAATTCGTTTTTATCCATCCCGCAAAATGGTTTTGTTCCTTGTATAAAATTTTCCGAACTTATCGATCCCATAAAGAGGTCACTGAAGTCAATCTCGTAGCATGATGTCGTGTCGTCATTGCTCTACAATGAACGAAGAGCCCTTTTATAGCATGAACGTATCCTATTTATTATTTGTTATTTAGTTTAAGTTCATTTTTTTAAAAACTTTTTAACAAAATTCATCTCTTTTAGAAATGTTTATAGATTTCCTAGTTTTCCGTTAAATAATATTCTTACGGTCATTTCTTTTCAGTAAATTTCCTTAATAAATTATATAAGCTAGAATCTATCTTCTATTCTAACAAAATCATCCTTGAATGATTAGATGGATTCCTTCGATTTGAAAAAGAAATGATCAAGTCTAATTTAAGGTGTTATATAGATGATCCAGTTTGGGGCAATTGGTTGAAATTATTCTTTAAACTCTTTTCAGTTTTGAGGCAATCGTTTGAGGTTACTGGAAATTGATCTTAATTTTGGGTTTCTTCAATTACAGCATAAACATCTTTCTTCAAATCTATTTCCCAACCATAACAAACTATCTTTGCAAGTTTTAAATAAGTTTATAATGTTAAGTTGATATAACAGATGATACAGGAAAAAAAAGATAAATGATAAATACCTAATAATGACCGTTACAATGGATTCCTTTAGAAAAAAACTTGCCAATAACTACATGAACCAGGGCAACTTCGAGCCATATACTACAATTAGTTTATCCCGAAATCCATTATGTACATTATGAGAAAAATTAAAAATATCTTACATAAACAGCTTCCTTCACTTCTTCGGCACATAAAAGCCAATTGAAAATAGCGAACGTTGCTATTTAAGTGAATGATAATTAATATTTTTATGAACTTTTTGCTATTAAGTTCTACCGTATATCACTCATTAAACCCGTTGTCGAAAGAGCGTCATAAATACAGTTGTCCGCTATTGAAGTCTATCTTTTCCGTTTTAACGTTTAGGATACAATGAAACCCGACCCAATCACAGTCTATGTAGATGTGTAATCTTTTTTCCGAATCAGAAAGCGTATAAGCTAGATGGTACCGTCTATCCAATAAAGTCCGTCGTAGAACTCTTAAATTCCTGCATTATTTCCAGTTGCCTGTGAATCGAGCATGTTATGTGGATTTTTTTGTAACAACTCGAGTCTAGGTGTTTGGATAAACGCTTCGGTGCCTAAATGTACATCCGTATTATTAAGGTCGAAGGAACAAGATTCTAGGAAAAAAACATTGGACCCACCTTTGTGGAATATAATAACCTTATTGTATGAATTTTCTGAAGTTTTAGTCATAATGTAACTGATAAACTTTTCTTTCACCGCGGGCAAGTTAGCAAATATTGTTGAGTCTGTTCATTAAAGATATAGAGTCTTAAATAAGCACAGCATTCTCTTTAACAATAAAATTCTTCATTTTCTGAAGAAAGCTATAAAATTATCAAAGGACGTTTTATTTTCACTAAGTAAAAAAGTGTAAAATTAAATGCATGTTTTTTTTACCTGTGGAAATTATGTAAAATTTTGTGCTCGACCTTTTATGAAAGGATTCACATTATGTAATTTTTATTGAATATTTTAAAATAAAATACTGATATCGGTGAAAAATAGGATTTAGATTTGTTATTATTTAGTTAAAGTTTGAAAATAGGAAGTGATTTTCTTTGCTAAATACCATTTTACATTAAATAACTTCTTTTATAATTTAACTAAAATAAAAATGGTTTAATATTTTTAAAATTGTGACAGATAAAGTTTTTAATGAAAAAGAAAAAAAAGAAGTTCGACAGTTTTAAGAATTAATTTCTCTACCCTAATTGGTGTTTTTATAAGTACAAACCTGCACAAAAATCATCGTTACACAGGTTCTTTGTGATAAGAACCAAACAAATCGTCACCAACCTGCGAATCTGAAATGATCAAGACAAAGAATCCGTTCAATAACTAATAAAGATACCGCGACGTTTAAAACAATTATGATAATTTTGCGTTTCCACTACAAGGAATTTTGATACACGATTCATAATTGAATAAAAGTTTTTTGTTCTTTTAATTTGCTTTCACCTAATCTTTATAAATCAATTGTAACCTCGAAAAACTATTTAAGCACATGATAACTTGTAAGTTCTCATAAAATCGATACAATGTCTTCCCCAAAACTTACTATCAAGGAATCACAGAGAGAATTTATTCGTACAATATGTTCCGAGATTTTATCTCATCCCTTCAGAGAAATAAATCTTTTTATGCTTTTGTGTTCAAAAGATCATCATTCCGACCAGTTGATATTGAAAATATGCTTAAAGGAACTTTTAATAAATTTGACCTTATGCATAATGAAAAATCTATTTATATCAATTATCAAAGAAATACATTAAAAGACATTTTAACAGTCTGTAACAAATGGTTTAAATCACATGAGAAATATAAAAAATGGAGAGATTTTCGAGGATATAGTTTTAGAAATCAAGAGAAGCATGGTTTATTTTATGATATAAGTGAACTTTTACCTGCATTTTATTATATTGGCTTTGAACAAAACTTTGATTTGACTTTTGGATCAGATTATGGTATTTTATATTACTATTAAAACTATACATAGTGATTTGATAGTACTTACGAACCAATCAGCCGAGAAGAAACTTGTATATGACCCGATTAGAGTACTTAGAGCTAGTTATACAAACGATCGAAATCTTGTGTTTGAAGATGAACAAGATGAGGAAATTGCTAGATTAATTCATAATGATCATGGTAGGCACACATTTATTTAATTAAATTCATTAACTTCGTCAAATTTCTTCAATGTTTAATTTTGTTTATAAAAAAAAAAACATATTTTAGATAGGAAATTCATTCAGAGGACTTTTTTTTTTCGTAGTAGATTAGATCTGTTTTATTACGAATTATTTGTTTTATTTTTTTAGTTCTTATTGTAATTCTGTTAATTTGTTTATTTTTTCAGTTTATAAAGAAAATTTCTGTAAGGATAATTATTGTTATCATTTATTAATTGCTAAGTGTTTATCATGTAAAGAAAAATAGATTTTTTAATTACGACAGTTATTACCTTCATACTAGAAAAAATTAGTCTGCAAATAATTTGATTTCTTAAGAAAATTTTTTGAACTGAATTACTAAACCGAAATATCAATATAGCTTCACCAACACCAATTGACATAATCATTTCATGATATTTATTAAAAAATTAATCATATTTTATTGAAAGATTGTAGATTCAAGATTTAAAAAAAAAATAAAAGTATAGTGTGTGTTACTTATTTATTGCAGCGATATTAAAAATTCAAGAATCTCCTCTTTATTTATTTGTTTATTTACTTATTTATAATACCATACATTTTTATATCGTTGTTATTCCGCAGACTAAATTTGCAAAGTAATTCAATTTTAAAAAAAAATCACAACTTTTGTTTCCAATTAATTTTTTCAAAAAAAAAAAGCCACAATTTGATCATCTTCCCCAGTATTACCACCAAGATTTTCACCCCCACGTGATCATAGAAATATTTATCATCCCGCGTCACACCCTCCGCGATTTCCATTTTTCATAAGTATTCTGGGAACTTGGAATTTTTTCGGGGCGTGAAATAATATTTGTCACATATTATTCGTAACATGGTTAATTTCTTAATGCCGATAATGCCGGCCAAATGTCACGTAGGGGTGAAAAACTTGGTGGTAATACTGGTGTAGCTCAATTATTCATCAAGGCACGTGATTTATTACAGCTAAATTCGAGATGCCCTAGTTTGAAATTTAAATTTGGACTGCCCGAAATTGAAATTTCAGTTCTGGGCAAAATGTATCTGCCCCAATTTAAAGTTGGTGCAGATCGCAACTTGGGGCACAAAATATACATTTTGAACTTATGCTAAATTGTTGATGGTTATGCACCATAGCGATGACAAGGAATAAAGAAATTGCTACAGAACCTGGTTTACAATTGAAATCCCGATACTCGATCATGTTGTGGTAAAGACACCTGCAATCACAGCAAGGCGTCTATCACGCAACTGTGGAAGAAGTGTTAATACTCTATAAAATGACTGTCAAAGCATTTACACCAGAAGAAAATTAGCGCTTATCAAAAATTGAATATCTAAAAACCTGGCATGAACTGCCAAATCTGATGTTTCACATCGACAGCTTTATGATGTCGGATTGCCTGCAATTAACAATGATAATCCTTTATTTTAAATAGATTCTTTGAAGCATCAACACATAAACAACTCGAATTCACAAAACTTCGACTTCAAATAAATATTTCTCGTAACGATTTGGCGATAAATTTATGGTTAAGATGCTGGGTGGTGTTGCAAAAATAATGGCAACGGCATGCAAGATTTCTTTTACTGAAGATGATTATGTCGAATTATGCGAATGCTTGGATAACTAAAGAAAACTCTTGTTACAAGGTTCAATTTATCACTAAATAAATTTTGCATTTAGTTACATCATAATTCATTTATTATATATTAGTACATACTAATTTATAATTTTTGAAGAGTTTAAAATTTTGCCAAATTTGCCCAACAACTCCCATCTAGTGCTAAATGCTAAAACTCCGCAAAATTATTAAATACAAGTGTTGGGACGAAAGATATCGTTTATAGAATATTAAGTATAACGAACCTAAAGAATGTAAGCTTGGACTTATTAAAGCGTTACAATACACTATTCGTATTAAGTTATCTATAGGATGGTGGAACAGATTGTCCATGTTGAATAATGGGTTTATGAATCTCTCGCACCATTTGAAACGCTTGATGAGTGA